GACTATTAAAACTAGGTTCCAAGTCCGTATAATTAAACTTCTAAACTATATTTCTATATTCTCTATTCCAAATGCATCAAACTTTCTTTTTTTAAATATTTTTTTAACAAAAACTCTTACTCAATGAAGTGTGACATATTAATTTAATTGTCCTAATTTTAGTATTTTACCTAGTTTAATAGACAAATATGTTTAACAACTAGTTTAATTTCTTATGAATTTATGGTACTGTCTTTTTAATTGGTTTATGAATGATGATTACCATGTTAATTAAATATGATAATCTTGTTTAACGATTACCGGGCTTCATGAAAGCCCGATAATCAGGCTTAACAACTTTCTTATGATTGATTTGTTCATGCATTTGTTTGTAAACAGTCACCTTATACACAACTGTTTTTAGATATCCAAAGCTATCCCTAAAAAAAAGATATCCAAAGCTTTACGTCTCTTTTATCTGTCTTTTTGAAGACTACAGAGACATGGACTTGTCTTCAACATAGCCAGTGGAGGACCTAGGGCGGGGCCTACCGAGGCAAGTGCCCCGGCTTCCGGCCAAAAATTTCACCACTAGTACTTAGGGTAAAATAGGTGCCCCTGCTTTCGGCCAAAAATTTCACTACTACTACTTCAGGATCTAATCTTGAATGAATTACGGTTGAACTTAATGGATTACAGACTCTAATCTTGAATGAAAATCCACATGCAAAATATATTCATTGTTTTGCTCACCAATTGCAATTAGTTGTTGTGTCCGTTGCACAAAAAAATAAGTTTGTGAGTGACTTTTTTGAATATTTGTCCATGGTTACTAACATGGTAGGATCTAGCTTCTTGTAAAAGAAAAGACGAGTTTAGGCAAAAACAACATGAAGCCATGGTAGAGATGGTAGAAAAGTGTGAACTTACAACTGGGAGAGAATTGAATCAAGAAAGTAGTTTAGCTAGACCGGGAGCTACACGCTGGGGTTCACATCATACAACCATTATTCGTATTCTTTCTATGTGGTCTCCTACCATTCAAGTTCTTGATAATATATTTGATGATGGAATTGATCTAAAATTGAGAGGCACTGTTAGTAACTTGGTAGAAAAGATGGAGAGTTATCAATTTGTTTTTATTGTTCACTTGATGAAAAAAGTATTGGGGATGACGAATATATTGTCACATTTCTTGCAACAAAAAGATCAAAACATTCTGGAGACTATGAGCTTAGTTAAAAGCACTAAAGCTAAATTTCATGATTTGAGAGAAAGTGGATGGGATGATCTCTTGGAAGATGACAATAGCTTTTGTGGCAAGAACAAAATTGACATTCTTAAAATGGAAGAGATGAATTATCGTTCTAGACGTGTTCGTCACCTGATAACAAATTATCATCACTTTAAAGTTGATATATTTTGCCAGGTGCTTATTATTATTATTATTATTATTATTATTATTATTATTATTATTATTATTATTATTATTATTATTATTATTATTATTATTATTATTATTATTATTATTATTATTATTATTATTATTATTATTATTATTATTATTATTATTATTATTATTATTATTATTATTATTATTATTATTATTATTATTATTATTATTATTATTATTATTATTATTATTATTATTATTATTATTATTATTATTATTATTATTATTATTATTATTATTATTATTAAACTACTATAAACAGTTGTATATGGCAGTTAATTATTAATATGCTTTTACAGAGTAGTGGACAAAAATGTGATGTTGGTAACTTAAGTAACTATAATTGTATTCAAATGTTACATCATATAAAACTTACACATAGAAACTTAGAGACACTTTTTTTTACATAAGTTTTAAATTAGAAATAATTTAGAAAAAACCTTGTTTCTCTCTCTTTCTTTTAAGGAAATATTAATCAATACAAAATGTGGGGGACCATACCAAAACCTCAGAAAGGGCATTCCCTTTCAGCGAAAAGAAAACAAGCCAAAAAGAGATCAACAAATATATGCTGAAACAAGTTAATAAATATAAGGAACCGATTCCTTGTCAAGCTTAAGAGCACCCCCAAGCATGTTTGGGATTAAATCCCCCGGTCTCCAAATAAAAGGGCCGTGAAAGCCCAAGGTCGATCGCTACAATCTCTGCTGTTTTATTTGCCTGAACTGGAATAAAATGTAGCCCAACCCTGATTCGGCCCAACAAAGAGCAGTCCATCTCCATAAACTTCAAAGAGTAAACGTCAGCTACAAAATTAGGAAATCCCAGCCTTTCTGAATAGCCCAACCCTTATTTTAGCGTTTTTGCATAAAACGTCAAAAAAGAATACAATAGGAATCATTGAAACATTTAGGGATTATTATTATTATTATTATTATTATTATTATTATTATTATTATTATTATTATTATTATTATAGCAATAACTTGATCATACTAATTTATGATTTTTACATTTTGGTGACTTGTGACTATAACATTTTTTTTTGTTTTTTTTTTTGTTTTTTTCCTTACCTTTTTATTAAAAGGGTAAAAATACATAGTAGGGGGACATATTGTCAAAACCTACATAGTCATTGGTGACTATGACAATATATTATAGTCTATAGTAACTATTAGTCATGTTATTTTTTAATAAGTTTCATTTTAATATTTTTTTCTTAAAATCACTTATTTCAAATGGAAAAATGATAAAGTTTTTTTGGGACAATTAAAAAGGGAATTTTGATTAATATTGCAGAAACGTCTAGAAAATTCTCCCTACCGTGTAATAAAAGGAACCTGGTTGTTATGTTTTCTTCTCTTTCTAAATTCGCAATTTTGGTATAATGATTACAACGGTTTTCAAAAGAATTCACTCTTGACGAATAAGAAAAGTTTTATTCTTCAAATCCCCTATACCTATTACGAGCCCGTTTGGAGACCTCTTCTTTTGGCTTATCAGGCTTATCAGCCAGCTTTTTTCACCAAACACGTAATTTTTACTTTCGCGCACTGAATTGTGTAATAAGCTGAAAAAGTAAGGTTGGAGTTACTTTTCTGGCTGTATTGGCTGAAGTTACTGTAGATGATCATTTTAGCTATTTTTACATATAATTTTTTCTTTATTTTATTAATAAAATTTATTTTTAAAATATTTTTTTTTAAATCAGCAGAATCAACCAAAACAGCCACTCCAGCCAGAACATCATAAATTTCAGCAGAATCAGCCAAAACAGCCGATTTTGGTGCTACCAAACGGGCTCTACTACGTACGTAGTAATTTTTTATGGAGTACGGAGTGTTATTTAAGAAGCCGATTGCTCCTAAACTATCAATTGAGCCGATTTCATTATTTACCTTCAGCGTAACGCTTTTGCTTCCATTTTTCAAGGTGCCTTCGATAAGACTGCTTTGCTTATGTATTTCTATACTTGGTGAGTTGGTGTGAATATTAATTTGCAATTTTCTACCTCCCATGTGATTAAAACTGAACTATATTTCTTAGTGCCTTTGTTTTTTATTTCACTTAACTTGTGGAATTTAGATTTTTCTTTTTTTGCTTCATCAGAGATTGATTTTTTTAGTTGTTTTCTGCTCAAAACGATGCAAAAACCAGCATTTCCAATGTTAAAACTAATTAAACTATTGCCTTTTTTCATAACACGCCAATTACCAAACAACCCAATTATATGGGGAATTGGTAGATGTAATTATGTAAAACTCGAATGGGGCCATGGCGGAGTGGTAAAATACTAGGGAGTAAAGGAAAATGGCCCCATTGACTTATTCGGCAATACGGATAGACCGGCCCGGACCGGACCGCTACTGTGTCATACCGGCCCGACCCACCTGGCAGGGCCCGAGCCTTGTGCCCTAACCGGGGGGGGGGGGGGGGGGGGTGCTACAGGCTGGGGATTTGATGGACGAGCTGGCCCGGCCGGTCTGGGACTGGCCCGACCGCTCTGGGACTGGCCCGACCGGTCTGGGACTGGTCCAGGCCCAATTGTTTTCTTTTTGTGCTTTTTTTTCGAATGGATTGGACTAGGCGGGTGGGGCTAGGTGGTCTGGGGGGTTTGGGGGTGGGGGTAGGAATAATAAAGAAAAACTAAAATTTTTAAAAAATAATAAGACTCGACCCAACTTGGCCCGGAACCAACCCGGGTCGGCAGTGGGCCTTCATTTCCCAAATCCCGGCCTGACCCGGGGCCAGAACCCGGGCCGGCAGTGGGCCTTCACAATTTTGTACTACGTATAAAGGAGGAGCCAATCGAAAAAATTACATTTCTACTTTAGACACCATTATATTTAAAGAAATTGAAAAAAGTACTCTGTATTTTAAGTACTGTTTCGTCCTTAAGCGGGCCAAATCTCCCTTCCTTTTTATGGTCTATCAATAGTTTCTTCATAGGCCCAACCAAAATTTTACTCGTCTTATTATTAATAATTTAATAAATAAATACATTTTTTTGTATTCACTAATTAATCTATTATAGTATCTACTTTATAAATAAATAAATAAATAAATACATTTGAATTTTCACATTATATTGAAATATGGTGATGAGGTTTGAATGGTATTGACTATTGAGTTTACAATGAAACTACAGGTTATTGTGTTTTCTACAACTAATGTAACTATTATTACAATTATCAAATACCTTTATTAATACGATCAAAAAATACCTTCATTATTGAATTTCAAAAATTATTTTTGATTGATAATAAACTTCAACGTAAATGGATTTGTGAATCTTGAAATCTCAATAGTTCATCAATCATCAATAAAATTGAACAACGTACAAACATCAACACTTTGTAATAATATTTTACTCTTGATCATCATATTTCGAATCATAATTTACGTCAGAATGTCAAACAGTTTTGAAATAAGACACTTCGTCTTAGAAACAACACTAATAGCTTTAGAAAAGAGTTTTAAAAGAGTGATAAAATATATACTCCGTACTATCGTAGTACTTAGGCAGTTAGACTCATTAGCGAGCAGATATACATCAATCATTGTTTGTTGCAATTGTGACGTAGGCGTCACAATAAAATCAAAATTATATTTAAAATATACTTTACTAATAAAATAAATAAAATATTATATGAAAAAATAACTAAGGTGATCATTTAGGGTAACTTCGGTCAGTATAATCACAAAATGTAAGTAACTTTCATATTACTTTTTCATATTATTACGCTAGAGTGCAGATTAAAAAGTTAGATGTTTGGTGAAAAAATTGATCGCCGAAAAACAAGATCACCAAACCAAATAGGTTACGTTCTTAATACACAATTTGAATTGGGTTGTTCCATAATTCATATTGTAGGTGATCAATTACGAATGGAAGTGATAATGAACCTGCTCAATAAGCAGCCAGCATCATCAAAAACTGTTTTTTGTCATTTCTTTCTCCTCCAGACCATCATCCTCCTCCTCCGCCAAGGAGTGGTAGCGGACTTGAAGGCAGACAGGGAAGCCCTTGTAGAGTTTGCATATGTGGTGGGCGGCGGGAGTGGACTGGGCTGGAACACGGAGGCCCACATATGTAGTGACTGGGCTGGCGTGAAATGCGGAGGCAGCCGGGTAGTGGGACTGCATCTGCCGGGAATGGGGCTGAGCGGGGCCATACCGGAAAACACCATAGAACGGTTGGACGCGCTGAGGGCTCTGAGCCTTGAGAATAACTCTTTAACCGGATGGCTCCCGTCCAAGCTCATCAATTTGAAGAGCTTGGACGTGAGCAACAACGGCTTTGACGGCCCCATTCCGGCGTCACTCTCGAGGTTTCCTCATTCGTCCTTTGTGGGGAACGCTTTACTATGCGGCCCGCCCCTAATAAATCAGCCGTGCCACCGTCGCCTCCGTGATGAGCTTGACATAACCTCATATTCCCAGCTACCATCTTCCTCTCATCCACTCCTATCTCGCCGCCTTCTAAAGTCAAACACAAAGACGGCGAAAAAAAAGAAGGAAACGCATGTGGTAATTTACGACATTGTGGTACCTCTTTCAGTTGCTTTAACAATTTTAGTAATAGCAACAGTAGTGTGGTGTTACTGTAATTGGGAAAAGGTTAAAGATTGTTGGAAATTAAATGAGAATGGTCTGTAAGTAATTGAAAGGCTGTAACCTGTAAGTATGCTACATTTACGCGTCCCTCCACTACGCCATTGAATATATGTTAACAACCACCCTTCCCTTATTCATCCCTTATACTACCTCCGTTCTTAAATAAATGCAACACTTTGACTTTTACACTATTCACATGTTCTACTTTGACTACGTTTTATTTATTAATGTAATAATATTATTTTAAGAAAAAAATATTGTTAAACTTATCTCATTGTAAATTTTCATAATCTAATTTTTTAAAATTTTTTACTAATACAAAATCATTTATATTAATGGTCAAAGTTGTGTCTCGGCAAGTGTGAAATGTTGACCGTTGCATTTATTTAAGAACGGAGGAAGTACTTAATAAGGGAATGACTCCCCATAAAATCCCCTATTGTAGTGCTCCCATATGAGGCCTCAAATCCCTTATAGTGTATAAGGAATGAATCACAACCATATCACTCATACAATCCACGTCAACAACTATGAGTGGCACATTTGCATAAGGGATTAATAACGGATCATGTCTTATATCCAAACATAATTTCGCTCGTATAATAAGGCATCAATAACGGATATATTCCCTTATTTTGCACCCTGCTATGTAGCACCCGTACTGTATACCATCATTATCATCCATAATAACTAATGAATTTAATTATAAAACATAGTTAAATTATACCACATCATATAGAAATTACTAATTTAAGTGTTACGGTACTAACACACAAAAGAAGTAATCCCATGTCATATCATTCGAATACCGTCAAAGCAAATTATAATGTATTGAGTTGTGACTACATTCAAATATATTCACAACAAAGTAAATTACAAAGTAGTTTAACAACCTACTAATTAACCATCAAGTAAATTACTAAGTAGTTCAATTTCCATTCTGATCATTCACTCTTCACTATCGTCATCAGAGCTAGATGAATCATCTTGAAGCTGTCGTACCGGAACCAAAGGAGTCGCATGTGTTTGTCCAGCTTTAAGGTGCGTTGTTGCTATGTGTGGGTTTGATGACGGAGGTTGAGGACAACCATTGACAGCAAATGAAGATGGTTGATCATATAACTGCGCTTGAGCGTAAGTCATCTCAAAAAGTTGGCCAAACGATCCCGGTTGTTGATGTTGTCCGTAGGGTGGCAGTGAGTTGTAGTTCCGTTGTGCGTATAGTGATGATGGGGGCTGATTAGATAATGAACCTCCCGAAAGAAATTGATGATTAATCATTTTTGGATTTGTCACACCCATGTTGATAAGAATGCCCCTAAGATTACTCATGGCAGTGGTGAAGCTCATTCTTTGTTCTGTATTTTGAACCCTCGTAGTTTCATTTTGTGCCTTAAGCTCTGCCATCCCTACCCTCATTGTATCAATTTGAGTCTGCATCTCCAAAATCTTATCCTCCAAGAGTCCATATGTAACCTAGAGTATTGGCAAATATTGTCATAAAACTTTGAACTTTTTAATAAGTAGGGCATCATTTAAGTATTACCTGAAGCGGTTTTGAAGGTTGAAATAGTTCGGGATGTGATAGTTGGGCCGGTACACCGACCCAGCGCCCTTTCCTTGGATCACCAGTAATCTCTTTCCACAGTTGAGAATCAAAAGCAGGATGTTTTGATCTATCCGGTCCATACACTTCTTCTATTCGTTCACGATATATTATCTAAAATAAAGGAGGTTGCATACAAATATATAACTGCACATAAACTTTCCAAAAATAAAAGTGAAAAATGAAAGTGATCACCAAGGATAATAACGGCCAAGTGTATAAAATAAGTGAAAAATAAAAGTGACAGTTAAGTGATCAGAAATTTTATAGAGCCCGTCACGTGCTCAATAACGAGCACGTAAGTCTACGTGGCTGTTAACACGGAGCACTCCCTGACAATTGGTCTCTCGTTCAATTCTTTATTCAAAGCCCAATTAATTTAGCATCAGTCCACCTTGGAAGCAAGTATTTAGTTGTAGGTTTAAATAATAATAATAATAATAATTATAATAATAATTATAATAATAATATAGAAATAAGGGAAAAATAATTAAAATATCTCAAACTTTGAAGTGATGTGAGATGAACGCCCAAACTTGCATGCGTATTTTAAATACCCCAAAATTTATATAAAAAAGTTATTTTGACACCATAGTTAAGTATTATTTCTTTAAAAAATGTAAATTTATGGTGTTAATTGCATAATTTAAAAAAGATCTGGTCTGATCTGTATAACTTGCATATACCCAAGTTTGGGGTATATTTGTTGGTGATGCAAAATTAATTGGGCTTTGAAAAAAGATCGAATTGAACGAGAGAGCAATTGTCGAGTAGTGCTCCGTGTCAACAGCCACGTAGACTTACGTGCTCGTTATTGAGCACGTGACGGGCTCTATAAAATTTCTGGTTAAGTGATTAGTTTATAAACAATTGAAGCTACTTTGTCATAACATGCATCCGACATATTATATTGACTCTTAACACTCAAAAGTTCAGCCACCACAGATAGTCTAGTATGACCAATGCAACCCTCATATAATGGAGCAGATGCATCTTTCAAAAGTTTGTAAAACTCCTCTTCATTCTTATTTGGGTTTTGAGTCTCGTTACTCTCAAAACGAGTTTCTTCATCGTCATCCAACCCAAATGTATTAAAATCATTTTCATCATTCTCACATCCAATAGAGAGTGGATACATAACCTCCCTAACCATTTGTCTACATCCCAAAACGTGATTTGGTACACCATAATTATCAATGGTTGTTATGCTTTCAAAGTACTCCACATTATTAGGCTTATACCCTCGATAAATAATAGGATTTATAGGACATTCTTCCCCATGACAATCCCATATATAATACTTCTCTCTAAACCCATGCATACACAAATGCGTTTTAATTATACCTCTATCGAAATACATTCTTAGCTTGCACTTCTTACATGGACATTTCACCATACTTTCTCCATTCCGCTGAGCTATTGTAAAAGCGTAGTCCAGAAAATAATTTACGCCGCCTTCTACAAACTCTAAATTTATATCACCCGAAATCCGATTTATACGATTATACATCCATTCGCGACCTTCCGCCATTTTACATTTACCTGCCCATTGAATTATTGAAAATCAATTCGGAAAAAAGTTCTAATTTTACTTGATAAAATATAACACTTCCAAAATTTGCATAACTTCAACGAATACATTACATATAGATAAATAATTATGATATATTCAGTTCAAATACATCATACAAATTAAAACTCCTTATAAATTTGATTTGTAAAATTTCATCAAAATGCAATTCGTTTAGCCGAAATAATAGATTAAGGTGCTAAATGTTCTATAAAATTAAAGGCAATTAATTTGAGAGAAAAATTTGTACCTCATTATAAGCTCAGGGATGTTGAAGCGTGTTTTCTTCCGCAGACTCCAGAATTTTTTTCAGACGAAATGTAAGCTCCGTGAAAAACTTCCTTGGCAATGCCAATGATAAATTCACAAACATTACAATAGATATCAAATATATGGCCGGAGTATACATTACAGAGCATCCCAGGGACCCAGTCGGTACATTTATATGTCATATTTGCATTTATTTATTTTTTAAATAAATAATGTCTGACTTGTTTAGGTGGCCGAGTAGTTGGGTGGGTGGTCGGTTGGCTGGGGCAACCCTATTCAATTTTCCCTTATTTTTCCCTTATACATATTCCTACGTAATTCTTTGACTCAATAAGGCAAATTTTTCCTTATACAATCCTTATAGGCTTTGGTTCCTTCATTTAGGCTATAAGGAATTAATAAGGGACATTGAATATGACCAACAAATCCGTTATAACCGCCCTTATAGTTTTTCCTTCGCTCACGTAGTGCTCGCGGCCTCGCCGCCGCGATGTAATAAAATATGTTCTGTTATGTGTCATTTTCCTTCAAAACCATGCTTTTTATGCACAATTATTTATTTATTTATTTAATTTGTCATTATAGTGTATACCATTATTTATTTATGGGAAATTTACCCAAGTAGGACTAAATAACAATCAAATTGCAAAAATAGGAGTCCCAATTAAACATGTGTCGCGTAGGACTAAAAAGAAACCAAACTTCCAAAAATAACCTCCAGCCACGTAAGGGGAATCGGAAACTACCGGTCCCACTTTCCAATTAGAAACTGACACGGAACTCGAGTGCGCCAAAAATTGGTTTCCAAAGCATCGAGGTATTCAAAATTAAACAAAGAGATATAAATGCATAGAGCAAGCCACAAGCTCGCAAAAAACTCTTCCGACGACGAAGTGGAACTAGAGCATAGACAACGTTGAGTTCTGTTCGAAGGTTGAACGAAAATGGAAGTCTCTGATTTCCAAAATGACGACGAAAAGGAGGCCTCTGATTTCCAATTGGACGCGCGGAGTTCACTAGAGATCAGAATCAATTCCCAAACGGTATGTATGAGTAGAAGATGTAATATTCGTAAACGCATTTGAATGTCATATACATTCCATGATATCTCCTTGTTTCATTTAATCGGATTCACATTCAGAAGCCGTTCTGTTCGTCTTAATCTTATTACTTATTGCTTATTCTTATTTTATTCAGATCAAATCAGATCAGAAAGATTCAGATAAGATCATATCAGAATCATTCAGATCAGATCAGAAACATTCAGATCAGATCGAGAACATTCAGATCAGATCAGGAACATTCAGATCAGATCAGAAAAGTTCAGACATGATTTATCCCTTTTATTATAATAATAATTATAATAATATTAATAATAATAATAATAATAATAATAATAATAATTATTATTATTATAATTATGATTATTATTGTCATCATGATTATTACTATGATTACTATGATTATTATTATGATATTTATTATTTTCATGATTATTATTATTCTTATTACTATTATGGTTGTTAGGGCTGCACAAGAATAACCCGAACAAATTGGGTACGCTCAAAAAATATAGCCAACCCGACCCAACCCGCCCGATGTGCAGCCCTAATGGTTGTTGTTGTTATTGTTATTAGTATTTTTTTTGTTATTATTATATTACACGGAGTAATTACAATTAAAATGATAGAAATAAATATTATAATTATAATTAAAATTATAATTATAGAAATAATTATAACTAAAAATATAATTACAATTATAATTATAGCTTTTTTTGTTTACTCTAGGAGACGTCTGGGGGAGGGGGTCTGGGGGGGGGGGGGGGCTGAAGTAAACTAGGTTGAAACTCACCCCATTGAGTTTTGAACCCGAGACCTCCCATAAGGGAGAGTGAGTCGGCGACCAGCTGAGCTGGACCGCTTCCTCTAATTATAGCTATATTTATAACTAGTGTAATACGTATAATAATAATTATATCTATTATAATTATTATAATTATAATTATAATTTTTTTATAATTATGATTATGATTATAATTATATTTAAATTATATATGTGTAATTACATTTCTAATTATTATAATAAAAATAAAAATTAAAATTATAATTTTAGAAATATTTAAATCAGACCAGATCAGAAGGATTCAGATCAGATCATATCAGAAACATTCCAATCAGATCAGGAACATTCAGATCAGATCAGGAACATTCAGATCAGATCAAGAACATTCAGATCAGATCAAGAACATTCAGATGAGATCAGGGACATTCAGATCAGATCAGACCAGATCAGAAAGATTCAGATCAGATCAGATCAGAAACATTCAGATCAAATCAGAACTTAAAAAATTCAGATTAGAAACATTCAGATCAGGTGAAGAGAACAGCTTCTCAGTGTATTATATATGGATTTCATGAAATGTAAGTTCACTAAATCATTCATGAATACAAATGCCAAAAATCAGAATTTGTCATATAGATTTATTAGGTCAATGTTATATATTGATAAGTGAATGCCACTTTCCTCGATTATATGATGGAATAACAATACCATAAGTAAATGTATTTGAAAGATAAATTTTGTTAGGTTAATGTTAGATAGAGAAGTATGGAATCTGATGTGAGCATTGTGTAGTGAATCATGACATTTGAGATTGTGCAAGTGATGTGCACATGGCATATTGGTGTGCTATTTTTTATTTTATTTTGCATACAATGTACTTGGATTATACGTGAATGCCACTTTCCTGGATTATATGATGGAATAACAATACCATAAGTAAATGTATTTGGAAGATAGATTTTGTTAGGTTAATGTTAGATAGAGAAGTATGGAATCTGATGTGAGCATTGTGTAGTGAATCATGACATTTGAGATTGTGCAAGTGATGTGTACATGACGGGCACTGTGTCGTGGTGCGTCAAAATAAATCGATACTAAGACTTATACGTAGTATAGTGAAGTAGAGTTCGTATCCACAGAGAAAGGAATAATTATCTTTTTATGTAACTAGTAAATAAAGGGGGATTTTGGTTGAGTGATTAAATTAAACACGAAGATGAACGACTTATATGAGATTTAATTCAAGGATAAAAGGGTCTTGGCCTTGCTACTTTTCACTTGTTGATATATCTCAGTCGATCATTGTTATATCTATAACTTATCCCGTCTCGAATACTCAATCGAGGAGTATCTCCAATTCATCGAGGGTAGTTATTAACAACGACCATTCATTAATAACCCTTAATATTAATCAAATATAGAACAACGCCGTATACCGAGATAATAGTAGCATTTAATCTCTTTAACTCCTTAATGAAATCAATTGAGATTGATAACCTCAACACAACGGTTTTGGTTTAACCAACAAAATTAATCCCTCTTAAGTTTATTAACCACGACCATGCATTAATAAACCATCAACGATTAACCATCGGTTTGTTGATCGTTACTAGTAATAATTAATGTCGGAACGTTAACTAATCGTCACTTAGCAACCCTCCAACATTAATATAGAATGAGATTAAGGGAAGAATTAATAATCAAGAGGAGAAGTTAAGAAAATAACTCACAACTTTAATAATCAACAAGCTTCAAGAGCAAAACCAAGAAATGAGAGTTTAGTTCCTCATTTGGAGACTAAACATGCTAGAAAAATATAAAGAAATGCTATTCTAAACTGAGCTTAAGAGTATATGTGAATTGGTATCTAATTGTAAAGTAAAGGAAAGGGGGTGTATTTATAGGCTTTTGGATCAGCAGCTCGTGTACCCGATCGAGCACACATAGGGTACCCGATCGGGTATTTGCAGAATGTTGAATTCGAGCTTTACTCGATCGATTCCAGGGTAGAAATAAAAGGCATACCCGATCGGGTGTGTCGGTGTACCCGATCGGGTATGACAACTGATCGTGGCCAAATCTTCCCCTGCACGTCCATTTGTTTCCTGTTTGATCTGATTGAAAATCAAGTTGGTACCCGATCGAATACATGGTATACTCGACCGGGTACAGGTCAAAAATCAGGATTTTGCCTTCTTTTGTCTAGTACTCTTGCACCTTTCTTCACCAATGATCATTTGATTGATATTGGACCTGTTTAAGCTCCTAATCTAAACATATTACAACTATCTTACAAACATAACTATTACACCAAAAGTGTGTAATTTCCGAAATATTAAACAACTAAAACTAACTAAAAACGTAAACATACGCACGGAAATTACAAGCGTATCAACTCCCCCACACATCGTTCTTTACTCGACCTCGAGTAAAGTAAAATGTTTCCAATAGTTTAGAAGTTTTTCAAGAGCTCAAAAAGGAAAGAAACTAAGACCACTAAGGAATAAAAATGAGTTTCCAAACAACATTCTTTCTTGGGTTTTGTGATCTTCTATGCTCCATCTTCTTGCCTCTTTTTCTTCTTCTCTTCTTCCTCTTTTTCTTCTTCTCCTCTTTCTCCCAAGAGATCAAATGAGGTCCTGCACATAACAAATATTTCTCTCATATCTCTCATTTTGCCTCGGAGCCTTTTCAGGTTTTCATCCTAGCATCTCTTTTTGTTTTTCCATCCTCCCTAACTCACTCATTTTTTTTATATAAGCCATTTTTGCTTAGATTGCCCATTTTTGGGTTTCAACCTAACTAGCATTTCTTTTTATTTTATTATTCTTTTTTTTTGTGTGTTTACAAAGAGTAAAAGAAAATCCATGCATAGTAAAGGGATGAAAATAAAATGACGTACCCATGAGGAGTCTCCCCCCTTCTCGGTCCAAGCACTGTCCTTAGTGCCCACCTTCGCCGCCATAGTATCCGCCTCCAAATCCGCCTACAAAGCTCTAGTCGCCCATGTGTGTATCTCCGCCATCCCCACCATCATAACCTCCACCCCCGGAGCTAGATCCTCCAAAGGTACCCCAATGAGTGGGATCATACCAAGAGGGGGTGGGGGTGGTTGAGCCATAGTATGGAACGAGGCTTGATGAATCATGTATGAGTACATAGAGGCCCAAAGAACCTACGTTGATCTTCTTCGTACCTCCGGTTGTCTTCGGCCTGTTGCTCCTCAAGTCGTTGAAATCCTGCCCTTTGTTCCTCCCGATACCGTCCAACTTCGTCGGTCACT